CCGCCCCCAGCGCGTTCCCCGGCCTCGGCCTGCGCCGCCTGCCGGGCCCCGCTGCGCCCGGGCAGTGAGCAGGAGGCGGCCGCGTTTTAAAATGCGCACGAAGTACTCATGCCTGGGGGCCTTGGGCATGGTCGGGTGTTGCCCCAGGGGCTGGGAGAGTCCTGTTTCAAGCACCGCTGTCAGTCCTTATCAAAAGCCCACCTCCGCCCCACAATAAGGTAATATAGCGCAGGCACAGGTCTGTTTGCAGGGGACAGGGAGCCGGCACCAAGAGCCGGAAGGAGCTGGCTGCCCACTGAGTCCAGTGGCGCGGCAGCCTCAACCAAGCAGCTGCCCATTTTGAGGCGAAGCCACTCACCCTTGAAGCACAGGAGAGAGCGGAGGAAGGAAAAAGAGAGATGTCCTGGCCTACGGCCTATTCTCCCCTGCAGAAAGACCTGCAACTTCTGCAGGCGGGTCTGTGGCTCAAGGACTGGGCTCTAAAGTCACCTCAAGACCCATGGGCATCTAGTGTCACCTTAGTTGGGGGTGGGGCACATGCCCCCCCGGTGACCAGTCAGCGGCCACTCTCGCTGACCAGGTGGGAGTCCCCCCATGGCTGTTCTCACCGGCAGCGCCCCCACTCCCCAGCCAGCGCTCGCAGGGGGAGCACTGGTGCTCCCGCCTGACCCCCCTGCTCATTGCCTGAGCGGCAAGCACAGCCGATCAGGGTTGGGCCATGCATTGCCACTGTCAAGACCTGTCAGTGAGCTGGGGTAGACTGTCCTAAATGGAGGGACTGCAGTCAAGTAAACAGGGATGGACATTTAATCTGCATAGAAAGGATGTGGATTTGTTGTAACCCGCGAAAGGCTGGGTATGTCTGACACTTAACAGGGGACCTTCTGCCTTTTGCTGCCAATGAATAAATTAGATCGTGGCATTCTTCCCCAATGTCCACAAGGTCTCAGAGATGCCGTGAAAAAAGAGCAAAAGGAAAGTGGGGAAGAAAATGGATTCGTAAAAAGGAGATATGATTTTAACCCCTGCAATAATCGCTAGTCATCTTTTTTTCTACTCTTCTTTTTTCAGGAATCAGGATCTTCTCACTGATCTGATGAGAACTGTGTGGAAATGTGTGGAAATGTCTCTAGATTACCGAAGCCCACCCTGTGCCTTTCTCAGCAGCTCCTTCTGGCTGCCACTGCTGCTGGCCCCGGCTCCACAGTACTGGTGGGGATCTGTGCACACCTTGACCCCAGTCAGGTTTTTTTTGCAGAATTCCTCCCCCACCCCCCGGGCCACACACAGGAGCATAAATAACTGGTACCTCCTGAAACTGGGGTGGGGGGCACAATTTGTGGATGGCAGTGTTGGCGGCATGGTGGTGAGCGGTGACCACCCATGCAAGCCAGCTGGGAGACGGGTGTTATGAGTGGCGATTGGCAAATGCCCACAGAAGCTGGCAGTGGTGTTGGCAGTGGCAAGCGGAGGCTGCCTGCAGAAGTTGGCCGCAGGGAGCAGTGATCAGCAACCGCCCACAGAAGCCAGCGGCGGTGTCAGCCAATCTTGGGGGGGCATGTGCCTCCCCACCTATGCAGGGGAGGAGACCCTGCTTGATTAGAGATTCCCTGTACTTACGATCTTTGTGGCCCCGGGGAGATGGTGCCAGGTCTTAAATATGAAATGATTGTATTGGAAGCTCAAAATTACTGCATTTGCTGGGAAAAAAAACCTATCATACACTGAAACAGCATGCAAATACGTCTTCTTCTGTACTTTATATTGATCACTGTAAGTCACCAGTCCGCAAGCGAGAACCAGGTGGTGGAAGTGGAAGCATTTATTTGTTTCAAGAGGCCAGTCATTAGGAGGTGCTGACAGCCAGCCCAAAACCAGATTAAGATTCTCTGAGTGACTTGGGTTTTGCATTTGCTGCATCAGTGACCTGCCTCAAAAGTCATCATGCGTTTTAAACACTTTTACTATTATTGACCCTGCTTGTACGAGGATTGGAACGATCTTAGACACCATGGCTGTCGTACCCCCGCAAGGTTGGGGGCCCGGACACACGAGCACGCAGCACCCCAGCTCCGGGCCCAGCCCTGCGCCCTAGTGCGCCTGCGCCGCTGCCCGGAGCTGGCGCGGGGACCCTTGAGCGCCAGCCGGCGCTGCCGCATCCCCCACCCGGGCCACACGACCGTGGCACCTTTAGTCAGTCAGCGGGGGCTCAGGCCTCCGCTTAGTGCTTGTGACCGAGGCACCGAGTAAAGGCTTCTTGTTCCCGGCACATCCCGGGGCGGGGGGTGCTCCACGGGCACGGGCCGGCCCCGGGCAGGGCCCGCGTTGCGCGCCCGCCTGAGGCAAG